AATTGCCATTGATTTCATTAGGAACTGGAACTTGCTGCAAGCATCTGAGGTCGGCATTCAGACAATGCAATTGGGCAATATTTAAGTGCTGGTTCAATAGTATGGGAAGAGGCATCCCAAAATATTTTAATTTTTTTTAAAAAAAAGAGGAGTTCCACAACAGTAGAAAGAAGATGAGAAAACATATTTTTTTAATTCCAAGAATTTACTGAAATGTCCTTAGAAGTAGTTAAGTCATGTGACACAATTATGACTCATTTTTTGAATGGACTAAAGTTCAGAAAACATAACAAGGGAGAACAAATAACACTGCACCACAAAGTAAATCGCCATTTCAATCAGAGATTGTTTGCTCTCTGAATGAAGTGTATATAATGTGAGAGAAATCCACAGTTTCAGAGACAAGATAGATTATGGCAGCAACTCACATAAATACTGCAAAATCTAAATTCCCGTGTAAAGCTTTAATTTAAAGGAAAAGAAAAATAATATTTCATCCACATAATAACTAGTATGTAAATGAATAGGAGTTCATTTTTTGTATTGTATTGCTTCTCTTTTGAATTAAATCTTCATTGAATTTGAAGACTTGTTTTATTCTGTCAGTTGCCTGAACAGCTATTCAGCCGCCTATCAACACAACTGCATTTCTATATGTTGAACATTGCTTTTGATTTTGCATTGTATCCCAATCTCTTATTATAGTGGTGCTGCTAGCTTAGCTATAGACATGAGTGTGTCTGTATTTCCATTCTAAGACCTGTTTCATTGTTAGATGCTTGTAACAGGACCATTCTAATTTGTATAATCAAGATGAGGCTATGCACAATTATTCTCCAACCTAATAAGATTTTCTGAGGCAAATACTTATATTTTGGCCCATTTTTAAAACTCAGACATCCAAAATCTGAAAAAGGTTTTGAGTGTGCAAAAATCTTCATCACTGGCTATATTGCTATAATTAAATGAAGGATATAATGCTTTTTACTGAATCAATATATAACACAAATGTTAAAATAAAATTACCCAAAATCCCTAGTAAAGTCTGAAAGGGACAGGTTTTTTTTTTCTTCAGAAACATTAAAACTTGCGTTGGCCTGATACAAGGCATGACTTTATCTGTCTTTGGAGATATTTTTGCATTATTCTATTACTATAATTTTGCATGTAAATGTCTTTCACAGAGCAAACCAGCAGTTTTTTCCACAAGTAAAGAGAACATAAATGATACTTATGTCTATATCTTTTCTATTTTTGGGCAAAGTGCTTTGTAAGGAACACTAGCAGAATACAAGATAGTATAAAATAAGCTCAGGAAAGGTCTTGCTTCACAGGCTATTTTTAATATGGAAACAACTTTCTCTTCTTCATTATGTTTTTGTTTTTTTATACAAATTCAACTAAATACTGAATTTTTTTTCTGGCACCAACTTCATGATGATAAACCACAAAGCAGTTGTTTATCCCTCAAACCCATATTTCCTTCTGACTGAAGCCTTTCCCAAGGCTGTTGAGTTTTACCTTAAAGGTCAAAATCCTTTAAAATAATTCAGAAAGTTCCTGAGTAGCCTCAAGGTTATATAAATTCTACCTTATAATATGGTGTATTTCTACAGAATCATTTCTTTCTTCCATTTAGAAATCTCATAATAGCTTATGATCATTAATAAATTAAGCTTCAACAACATGCCTCTGAGGTAGGCAGATACCAACTACATTTTACAGACATGAAGAGTGATTTACCTGAGATGACGCAGCAAATTCGTGACAAAGCTAGGAAAAACACCAATGTTTTAACCACACTCTGGTGTTTTAAAGATGAGACAATTTTCTTACTGAAGCTGCTCTAAGTTTGGCCCTCTCATGATTATCTCCTAGGCAGAGTGACTTCCTTTTCTTTGGGCCTACCACTACTGCCAAAATTGGCATTAAAAATAAATAAAGGTGATTTCTGTGAGTGAAGGCTGTAAAAGTATATGAGCCTTACTACTGACTTGTGTTGGAGAACTCATAGAAGAGCATGCATAACTGTTTGAGAACTGCAGATGGCCAGAAGTCTCATTGGTTATTTCTACACAACAGAAACACTGTATAAGCAACCCTGCTTAATGCGGTTTCACTTAGTGTTATTTCACTATGGCGCTCATTTAAAATTCATACCTGATTTCACTTAGCACTGAGCCAGTTTCATTATAGCGCTCAGCGAAGCAGCAGCGGTGGCAGAAAGCGGTGAGTGGCAGCAAGTGGGTGGGTGGGCATGAGCTTGGGGCCTGCACTGGTGCCACATGGCTAGGGCCAGCAGGGGCCCAGTGTGGGGTAACAGGAGCAGGGGGCCTGGGCTGGCAGCTGGTTCTGGAGTGGCTGGTGGGTGAAGGAGGGTGGGGAGAAGCGGCGGCAGCAAGAAGCAGCAAGTGGGGGGGCAGGCATCAGTGCAGGGCCCTTTTCAGTGCCAACAAGGGTCCACGGCGAGGCAGCAGGAGCATGGGGCCTAGGCTAGCACATGGTGCTGGAGTAGCTGGTGGGCAAGTGGTGGGGAGAAACAGTGGCGGGGAGAAGCAGTGGGTGCAGGGCCTCATGGTGCCAGAGCCGGCAGGAGCATGGGCTGTGGGCTGGCACGTGGGGCCGGAGTGGCCAGCAGGCAGGCGGAGGGGTGGGCAGAGGCTGCTGCAATGGTGAAAAGCTACGGCAAGAAGCAGCAGTAACCAATTATTTCTATTTACATTAATGCCTATGGGGAAATGGGTTTTACTTAACACAGTTCTGCTTAACGCTTGGTTTTCCCAGAACCAACTGAGAGCGTTAAGTGGGGGTTGCCTGTATCCAGATGGGACTTTCCTGTGCATGTCCCACCCACCCACTCCTGCTTGCATGCTTTGAACTCAGGAATATGTTGGTGGGGCTGCTCTGAGTCATTCCAGCCATCCTCAAGCCTGCCAGAAATTTTTGTTCCAAGAGCAGTATAAGAGGAGCATTTTGGCATAGCCACAGGCAACCATTTGTCCAAAGGATCCACAAGCTTGTCCACTCCAACACTTCTTGTTCACCATAAGGCACCCTAATTAAAAACCAAACAAACCGTGTAACATGACATGGAGGAGAGAAGGAGACTATCAATATTCTGGAGCTGTTCTCAAGCATGCCAGAGATTTGTGTCTTAATAAAGACATCCTAGAATGGCCACATCAATTTGGAACATGTTAACAGGAATGGGTTGCTGAAGTGATCTTGGAAACATTCTGGTGGAAGATCCTGGCTCCCTCCTAGGAAGGTGGGTGCTCTTTTCTGGCAGCTGTTCATGAGCAACTGGAAAAGCATAGATGGGCCAGACCAGATTTGCATTCCAGTTATATAAGAGTTTTGTTAAGATGCAATTAAATTTGAAATTAGGATGAAATATTGTATCTCTATCTAATGCATGGACCAGAGAATTGCTTGGAATATTTTAGGGTGAGGAACACCTAACCATTAGTTATCTTTATCTAGAACCTTTGACCTCATTGTTTGCAAGTAGGGAACTATTGTTCATCACAAGCATCTGTGATGGCTGAAACCGGAGGGATTAATAAGTAATAAATATGTGCTTCTTAGAGGCATTTGGTATTTTTCCTAAGCAGGTAATATTAGGTAATATAAAGCTTGTAAGTTTGTAAACCGCAAATATAACTTGTCTGTCATAAGTTTAACCAAAATGATAAAATAAACTGTTTGTGGAACTGACTGGGCCCTATAGGTGAAGCTGTAGATGTGAGATTAGCTGACCTAATGGTTTCTGCTCAGGGTTCAGCTTTGACGATAAAAAACTGGATCCAACTGCCTGGCACACCCAACACATTCCAGGAAAGCACATCCCAAGAAAGAATATTCAAATGAAACCTAAAAGGGGTTGGGGCTTAGGTGGAGCAATGTCAATTTCAAACCTAAAGGTGCTGCATTATAGTTTGCTTATTGGATAAACCCTAGTCTGGGTAGTAACCTTTTATGATAATTTTTAACATCTTTCAATCTTATAGGGTAACAGCTATAGGGTAACATTATGAGTGGCTCTAAAACCAACAGATTAGCATAAGACTAGGTATAAAAAGCACATGCATCAGGTAACCAGAAAGGGAGGAGGGGACAGAATGGTCATTTCTGTTCCACGCCCAGACCCTGGACTCCCGGTGTGAGTGAGGATCGGATCCTGATCAAGGGACCTTCCCCGGTAATCCCTCTGACAGTGTCGATTGGGGACGCCTGACTTTGCTGGAATCACTTGAAATGCACCTGGCATTGAGGGACTATCGATAAGTTGCCAACCCATGTCTGTCTATCTGTTGTTTTGAACAGCCCAGTGGCTAATACCCTCACAGTGCTTGGTTGGCCTGCGACAAAATTGATCTATCTGTTATTATCTGTTATTTACTATTCGCTCTTTAAAACGGCATTATCTGCTTATCACATTTATATTTCTGTTAACTGTTGTGTGTGTGTAAGCTATAATAAATTTGCTCCCAACTTCACTCTCAACTTGGCCTTCTCAATCCGAAACCGAATCAAACAGCCCAGTTGGCCTGTGATAAAATTGATACACTCACAGTGCCCAGCAGCCTGTGACAGCACCCAGACAATATAATTTAGTTTCTCAGAATTATGGTCAGGGCCTCAAGGTTAATGTTGTAAAAGCTACTTTTTAAATAAAGAAACCATTGGTAATCAAATCCAACACTTTTTACTGCCAAGAGGGGCTGGCAGAGAGGTTATGTAGATAGACAGACAGACAAAAAGATAACTTCCCTTCCATTGCTTGAAGATCTGTCATTCCCATGGCAATCAATCTACGTCTATTCAGTCTGGCAGTTGCCCTGGAGAGCAATAACTACAATATCCCTTAGTCACCAAAGGAGGATTCAAGCTAATAACCTTTATGTAGCAAGTGTTTGCAGCTGCTTGTTAAATAACTTTGTTTAAACTTGAAGCCTGCCCTAGTGGCCTGTAGAAATTAATTGTAAATTCTCTCTTAGGGAACATTGGATGAACCAGAATAACTACATGATGAATCTGGATGATATGCAACTTGGTAAGTCTGTTGCTGGTGAACTGTGGTTCTGATGCCAGGTACCAGGTTAACCTCTCTGTGGTACCAGAATCACCTCTTAACAGCTTAGTATTAAACCAGCCCCCCCAACAAACAAACAAACAAACAAACAAACAAACAAACAAACAAACTGTTCAAATCCATGTGCTAGAGGAGCAAATTAGACCCAGATAAAAGCTTCACAGATTTCTCAGGGGGCAGAAAGGGAGGGGGTCTCATGCATGAAATTTCACCCATGGATAAATGCAAACCAGGCAAAATTTGCATTTATTCATATTTTTATCTGAATTTTGCACTAAAAATCCCCAAATGCATATGAATATCAGCCTCTGTTCATAGCCTTGCTCTTTATGCTTTCCTTTGGTAGTAAATTTGACTTCTACTAACAGCAGATGAAACCGCTCTCCTCAGAATAGGAGAAACTGTTTAAAATATTTAACTCTTTCTTGATGAACTTGTGCACTCATTTGTGAATACATATATTTAAAAGTTCATTGACACTTTAATTAACTAATGCTAGTGAATCTTCTGTAAACCCACAGTTTTTAATTGGATCTTGTTCCAAAAAATAAATATGCATCGTTGTCCAGTCAATCAAACAACAGGCTATGACATAAGCAACAGCCCATCGCCTCATCCATAAGTGTATTGGTGATTCCCCCTCCCCAGGTGCAGTACCTTGCACTTATCCTTGTTAAACTGCATCCTATTTTGTTCTTCCCACTTTTTCAGCCTGTCCAAATCCACCTGAATCCATTCCCTACCCTCCGGTGTATTTATCTTGCCCCATAATTTGGTGTCATCTGCAAATTGGACCGTGTGCTCTCCACACCCTCCTCCAAGTCACTGATGAAGATACTGAACAGCACTGGTCCAAGGACTGAGCCTTGAGGGACCCCACTGCCCACATCTTCTAGGTCAATACTGACCCATCCACCACCACTCTCTGGGTGCATTGCATTAGCCAATTCACCACCCACCTGACTGTGTAATTATTGAAGTCACAGCTGCTTAGTTTTTTTTTATGAGAATGGGATGTGACACCGTACCAAAGGGTTTTTTTAAAATCCAAGTATATAACATCCACCTCGACTCCTGCATCTAAGTACTTTATGTGTCTCTCACCCCATCCTCATTAGGAAGCTGGGGGACTGTGGCGTAGACACCCATACAGTCCAATGGGTCGCCAACTGGTTAGAGAGTCGCACCCAGAGGGTGGTAGTGGATGGGTCCTTCTCAACCTGGAAGGACGTGGGAAGTGGGGTCCCACAGGGCTCGGTCCTTGGGCCCGCCCTGTTCAACATCTTCATCAGTGATTTGGATGAGGGGGTGCAAAGCACCCTGTTCAAGTTTGCTGATGACACTAAGATGTGGGGGGATGTGGGCACATTAGAGGGGAGCAACAGGCTACAGTTGGACCTAGACAGGTTACAAGGATGGGCGGAGGAGAACAGGATGGGGTTTAACACAGACAAGTGTAAGGTGATGCACCTGGGGAGGAACAATCGGCACCACACATACAGGCTGGGGAACTCCCCTCTTGTCAGCACGGAGGTGGAAAAGGATCTGGGAGTCATTATTGACTCCAAGATGAACATGAGTCGGCAATGTGGGGAGGCGGCTAGGAAGGCCAACTGCACCTTGTCGTGCATCCACAGATGCATCTCGAGCAGGTCCAAGGAGGTGATCCTCCCCCTCTATGCGGCACTGGTCAGGCCGCAGCTGGAGTACTGCGTCCAGTTCTGGGCGCCGCACTTTAAGAGGGATGTGGACAGCATCGAGAGGGTCCAGAGGAGGGCCACTCGTATGATCAAGGGACAGCAGGGTAGGTCCTATGAGGAAAGGTTGCGGGACCTGAACCTGTTCAGCCTTCAAAAGAGAAGGCTGAGGGGGGATCTTGTGGCCTGTTATAAACTGGTTAGGGGGGATCAGCAGGCGCTGGGTATAGTCCTCCTTGGTGGCAAACCCCTGCTTCCATAGTCTGTATACCTCCTTTTTCATCCCTAGGTTTTCCTGGATTTCCCTGTTCAGTCAAGAGGGTTTCATAGCTCCTTTGCCCCCCTTTATTCACAATGGGATTTTCCCCTTCTGTGCCCAAAGGAGCATTCCCTTGAGGAACAACCACCCTTCCTAGACTCTTGTCTCTCCTAGGCTTTTGTGCTTCAGTGCCTTACTTACTGACCTCCTGAGCTTGTTGACGTTAGCCTTTCTGAAGCCTAGCACTTCTGCCCTGCTGGTTATCTTTCCCACCTTACAATAGGCTGTGAATTCTAACAATTGGTGGTCACTATCCCCTAGGTTACCCTGTATCTGCAGATCCCCCATCAGGTCATCCCCTGTAGCAAACACTAAATCCAGTAAGGCATTTCCCATAGTGGGACCATATGCTTCGTGCATTAGGTGAAGGTCCTGTATGAAGGTTAGGAACCTAAGTGAATGGTCGGATCTAGCTGACTACTCTTCCCAGCAGATGTCTTGATAGTTAAGGTCACCCATGACAACCATATCCCTTGAGCGAATGGTCTCTGAGAGTTGCCTGAGAATTCCAGGTCTAGTTCATCTTCCTGGTCTGTAATAGACTCCCACTACCAAGTCATTTTCATCCTGACCCCCTTGTATTCTGACCCACAGTGCTTTAATTTGCCCCTCTTCTGATCCCATCTTGATCAGTAAAGACATGAATTGCTCCTTAACATAGAAAGCAATATCCCCCTACCCCTTTTTTTCCCCACTCTATCACATCTGTACAGCCTATAGCCCTCAATGCTTACTGCGCAATCATGGGTAGGGTCCCATCAGGCTTCAGTTAAGCCAACCAGGTCAAAGTCTTTGTTTGCAAGCAGGAGTGTGAGTTCTTTCTGCTTGTTCAACGTGCTCCTAACATTAGTATAGAGCCCCCCATTGGGTCCCCTTGATATCCCCCTGTCAGAGAACAGAATCTTACCTTTTGAAGAGAGGTGGAGACCATCTTGTCCCCTGCTGGTGTTCTTGTCTCTCTTGTGGCACATTGTAGGGTTTTTCATTAGGGTGCTTTATGGTTTTGGTGAACAAGAAAGGTTGAAGTGGACAATCTCATGGACCCTTTAGACAAATCGTTGCATGTGAACACAGGGGACAGGATTTGATATCCCAGGAAGACCCTTTCAGTCCTCTTGGTCAATGGCTCAGATCCTTGCCACAGCCAGAATTCAACTTTAGTATATTTGAACTGATGGAATGAAAGGCAGCTTTACATACCTTTCCTAGTCATTTGATTTTCTAAAGCTACTGGAAGATGTTTCAGTCCTCAGCTCTGCTCTAAATTTATCCAGATTTTAACAGATACCTGGGAGCTGTTAAGCTAATTGAGGCTTGCCAGAACACAGCATGTACTGTCCATGTCAATCAGCAATGGGAAGAATCTTTTTATGGTCTTGGCCTTAATGTTCAGATTCTGCTATCCTTACTCATGCTAAGCAGCATCACAGAAATACGACTGCTGGAAACCTCATGCTAAAGCCTCACAACTAGTGAAGCCATAGGTGTTGACTTTGTTTTTTGCTGGTGGGTGCCTGCAGACATTAAAAAACAAAAAAACCCGGCACTTTACTTTTAACTTGGTGCATTCCCATGCTGAGCTCTATTTATGCCCAGAAGAGGCAATGTGTTACTTCTAGCTGGATTTGCAGCATCTGTAAAGATCAAGTGCTTTAGTGGAGCTTTTTTGGCATTTTCATCTAATAGCTGATTGAATTAGCTTTAGCTAAAAGTGCCAAAAAGCCCCACTGAAGTGCCTGATCTTTACAGATGCTACAGAGCCAGGTTGAAGTAATGCACTGCTTCTTCCAGTAAAGCGCTTTTTAATTTTTTAACATCTGCAAACATGGCTCTGTGGGTGTTGAGCATGTGCCAATTTTTTTTGGTGGGTGCTTGAGTCCCGGGGCACCCACGAAGTCAGTGCCTACGAGTGGAACCAGCAAACACAAAGACATAAAAGGAAGTGTTTCCATCATTTTGTTCCTGATGAAGAAGGAACAGTCCTTGTTTGTTGGAGGTCAGTGAATTTTTAAAAGCTTATCAGAGTAGTGAGGGCAAAAAGTTATTTCGAAGGTAGATCTGAATCAGGTTATGAAAGCAGTGGCCTCAGGCCTATGCTCCTAAATCCAGTTGCTTGCTGTCATGATCTTATAATCCCCTGCTATCATAAGCACCCTACACGCCTTTTCATAATTTAATCAAGCCATGTCTTGAAACCAGTTAGGTTCCTTATCTTACTACTCCTCCTGGAAGAACATTCCAGAACTTAATTCCTTCCATAGTTGGAAAACTTCCTCTAACTTCCAAAATTTATTCACAGCCCCCTTATACTTATTTGTTCTCATAGCAGCATTGTCCTTTAGCTTTATATTTTTTCACCCTCACACATATTTATTCCTTTGGGAGGTGATATCCCCTTTTGTTCTCATAGGCTGAACAAGCTGACCTCTTACATTCTCTCATGGCCTTTCCTACAACTATTTCAATTTGAATTAATCTTTTACACTTTTTTCATATGAGGTCTTATAAGTTTCTTGCACTGAAGAGAAATACAGCAGCATAGGACTAAAAGATATAAACACTTTTCTATATTTAGTGGATGTACCACTAAAAGCATCTTTTTCAGAGATGCATCTCGTTGGTGGTTCAGTTATTTTACATTAAACTGTCATATTTACTTGAATCTAAGTCTGCCCAGAATTTAAGATTATCTCCCCCCAGTGATTAGATTTTATAATAAATTTATACATTTTCCATATATAATTTTACAGGCAAATAATCTAATTCAGAGAGTTGTCTGTAATAGCATGGGTCTGGACTCAGAGGCAAAGCAGTGGCTGGGGGTGGCCAGGTGGGTATCTCCCTTGCTCCCTGTCTCCCTGCTGCAGGCTTCCTGCCCCCTGCCACTTGCACTCTCTACCCCCAGCTCCCCATTGTCTCTGCCCCTTAACAGTTACTCCCTGTAG